TAAGGATTATAATTAAGGATCAATGATAAGGACTAGGGCCCATTCCTCCCGATTGCTTGAATCCCGCCGTCGATCATTGGCAGCATATGAGGCTGCTACCCAATCTGGCTCACAAATGTTGCCAAAACTCGTGGGCATGAAGGAAATTAGCATAGACCTTAGGCACTACGACAATCTCTTTGCTTCCTTTCAAATGTATTACATTGTTTGGCATAATTTCATTTTGATGTACCCCAACGCCTCAAAGAAGCAGGCGCAGAACAATGAACCTGGCCAACTTTTTTCGGCGCACCTTCTTAAACTGTCAACGGTCAACGCGATCCCAATGCAATCGCTACAACCCTATGCGCAGTCCCGCCAGGCAGCTGTCATGCAAGCGCCTCAGCAAACGATCTCGCAGAGGCAGCCGACTGGGAGGCGCCGGGTCCGCGAGTTGGAGAGGCAGCAAACGGGATGTCATCCGCATCTGCTGGCAAAGTGGGCACGGCCCGTGCTCAACCTTGCAATGCGGACACGCGCAAGGCGAGAGGCGTGCACCTGCTGCGTAGGCGAACGAGGCGTTTGACGGAACCGTTGGGAATCCTCCCACCATCGGCCGCCGACCTCTGGCCAAGACGCACAGATGTTGCGGTCCCCCTGGGCATAGCTCCGGGTCGCCCGCAACCCTTATCGCTGTGCCATCCCGATTGGCCGACCCGGACTGGGCTGACCTGTTCTGCTCGGGTGAAACGGGAGACACGCCTGGCATTACAACACAATGCTTCCCGGGTGGGTGTAGCACCGTACACAACAAAGTTGTGGCTGGCGCCTTCGGTCGTCAGCGGCAACCCCTCGGACGGTGGCAACACAGAATTTCTACAATTCTTAACGTGGTTTTTTCCTTTAAGCCGACTGAATTTTGCCATTTTGGCTCAAGATTTGGTTCCAGAGCTCAAGTTCGAGTTTTCCTCCTCTCCTCCGCGGTGCCGGCCTCGGGGGCCCATGGTTTCGGCTTGGCAGCTGCTTTGAGCAACCTGGGCGGCCGAACTGCGCTTGCTGTGGCCCAACTGCCCAGTACTTGCAAGGAAGCCCTTACCCACGCAGCCCCTGTCTGCGCAGGAAGCCGCCCAGCCTGCTATCCACCAGGATAGGGGCCCTGGCCGTTGGCTTGTTCCTGTCAGGCTTACTTTTGGGGGCGCTGGGGAAGCAGCAGCGCGCTCGATCAATGGGAAATCACAGAAGCGTGCGTCTCGAAAACGCTTATCAGATGCATATGCAGCCCAGCGCAGCATTGACGGCCACGCAGGACGCTGGGCAGGTTCTTCAGAAAGTCTTGCGTCGTGGGCAGATGTTTGATGGCTTGATTGTATCCGCACTGTTTGGGTGGTTTGGGCAAGCACCGGTGGCACGCATACGCAACTAACCGCCAGAAAGTGGGTGCTTCGGATGCCTGATGCCAGACACGACTAAAGGGTAACCACGCGCGTGTGAGAGCACTTGCGCACAGCAACTTTGCGAAGCCCGACCACTGCCTCAGCCTGAGAAGAAGAATGTCACCGGAGGTGTTGTGTAGCCACGAGCAATCAATGAGTGGAGTTCCATGCGTTGGGTGTGAAGGGTTTAACGCCCTCGCCCTATGATTTACGATTAGGGATGTAGCCACAGAAAGCATGATTGCAAATATCAATTATCATGTATATGCAAAAATCATGATTATGACCATGCTTGGGATCTGTCGGGTTTATGACTATTTCATCAATTGTTTGACCATCTAAACTGCTGATGCCCGAACCCTACATAATCATTGTTTTCCTCAAGCTCAAGGTTGTTCGGTTTTAATTTTGGCGTTTTCCACCCAACCCCCACCCGGCCCCACCTGCTCACTGCTTTTCCGTAACCAACCCCGGGAATGCACAACAGGTGGCACATTGGAAACCGCATGCACTCATGCCTTGTTTCTGGTTTGCATTCATAGACGGCCCAACACCAGAATTCTTTTAAAGCTGCCTTTCTTGAAGCCGAGACTGATGTGTGGGGCCAGGTCGGCCACTTGAATATTGCAAACACATCCAGGGTTTGGGCAAGCAGTTGAAGTTGTGCGTTTGGGCCCTGTGGGTTGGGCACTGTAGGGACCCATAGGGTTGGGGACTACAGGAGGGCCTCCATTTGAGGAAGGAAGAGGAACAGGGCACATATGCGAATGTTGAAGGGGCGACTGATGCCATTGAGAGCTCCACACCAGTGTACAGTGTTTCCATGTAATCACTGCACCCATGAACTTTGAGCAAACTCGTTCCACTTGGACCATCGGACGCTCACAGTTTGGGAGGGCTAATATATGCAACTTCGGGAGCCGACTTCCGAAAGAACACACTATTCACGCGTTGCGTTCGGCAGCTGTCATTTCAGTCGCTGGGTGGGACATACCCATGGTGACACCATGTCGGTTCAAAGGAGGATATCAAAAGACATGTTACAATGAACCATGCGGAATGTGCAATACAAGCCAGGCTGAGCCTGCCAGCATCAGCATGTTCGGCTCATGTTGGCGTATGACATCAACGTAAAACGGTTCAGCCAGATCTGGCAGTGACCAAGCACAAACTCATACACCAGCATCTCAATCCAGAATTTTGGGACATCGTTGCGTGGCTTCCATGTGCTGCCCACGACACAGCCAGTGAGTTTAGCCACCACAACGAGGCCGAATGCGCGTTTGAAGTTGCTTGACAGTGCATGGTCGGCGCTTGCGATATTGAATTTGACTCGGCAGGAGTGGCCATCTTACCGCTGAACATCATGAGTTGGATGCAGCTTGATGCAATGGCTGGTTTTCGCTTGCCACAGGATACACAGCAATGCCCACGTGATTTTTCATTGCGGAAGACTGAGGCAGCAACCAAAGGGCGTGGTGGTTCGGCCAAAAGCTTTTGGCCAAGGCGGTGAGAGTCGCATGTTTTTCTTTTGGGAGGGCCCGACACTTCGTAGATGCGGTGTAAGGACGTGCCCAGAGAGGGTGGTTCCACCTCTCTGTCAGCTCATGCGAATTTTACCTGGAAGTTCCCAAAACCGAACAGTACAGTGGCAATTGGAAAATGTGGCGGCCCCAACACAATCCAACACACATAGCCTTCCAGGGAATGAAGTGCCACCTAAAGCTGGTGCGGGCGGCATGGTCCCGCCCAAGTTTGCGCGACTAGGCACAAATCATTTGTGCGCAATGCTGGGTCAGAGGATCAATGACGGCTCTTTTGGAAGAATGACCGAGCTCTAATGTTACATTGTTGACATGATTCGGGTTGACCCAGCCGCTGCGCTGCTTCATATTTGACATCACCCAAGGAACCCTTCATTGGTTACGCCGGTCACCAACCCGAAGCTTGGCGATTGCAGGGTGAGCCAGAATTTTGATGAGGGTGCCTGGACAAGTTGTATGGACATGGATAGCGCGTGTTGCAGCCAAAATCCGTAGCCAATTTTCGGGATACGAGCCCGCGGTTACATGACTTGGGGCATGTGGTGTGTTGAGCGATTGTGCACAAAACTGTAGTCAACACATTGACATGTAGAACAGGTGTAGGAAGGCTGAACAACGGGAAGGTGCTTCTGCAATCTCATGCTGCCTTCATCCACACACACCTCCGGTGAATGCAAAAAAAGGGTAGGAAGATTGAGGACCATCTCGACCGTCTCAATGCCACTACAGAGGTCCTGTGCTCCAGCACGTAGCCTTCGCGTAGTAGTTAGTTTTACAGGTCGGAGCTCATCTGCTTAACAGCAGCACTAAAGCAGTTTTGTCCTGGGTAAGGAAGCCGATGATGGCCCTCCCACCAGCGGCCACAGGTGGCGTGGCACTGTTTGGCTGTAAGTGGAGCAAAATCTTCTAAAGGGCTGCTCCCTTTTGTCTGCGTAAGACAGTGGCTGCTAAAGCGCTGTCATGGTGTCGATACATGATATGTCCTATGGCAGTGCTCAGTTGAAAGTTTTATACGATTCCAGTCACTTGACAAGTTTTGCCAGTTTAGTTATGCCTTCATTCCGGCTTCAATTTCGTTACAGTCCTGAACATGTTCAGAGCTAGAACCCAATTGGCCACTTTCGAAGTAGAAAGGAAGGGGTTGAAGTTGAAGGCTGCAGCAATGCGAGCTGATACGTCTGATGCTCATGCAGCTAGGGTGGATGCGGAGGGCTGTGTTCGAGCAAGCATGCAACCTGCAGGAAGCGTGGTGCCGCCGAAGAATCAAAGCCTAGGAGGAGCGCCTCAGGCTCAGGGGCGTGTAAAGAGCTCCTGGTAGAGTTATGTACGCTTTGGACTTGTAATTGTTTAGCAGGTTCTTGCTTGGAGCTTTTTTTCTGTCGTCTCGCCATCTTGAATTGGAGGGTTCTTCCACACCTTCATTCATATTGGCCAGACAATCTATGCTGGAGTTGCTGCCCTGCAGGCCGTCATGCAAAGTTCGCCGAAGCAGCCAGGCGTGCCAGGCGTGGTTCCGCCAAAGGTCGCAGGGGCTGCCTTGCCGGCCAAGCCAATAGCAGTCGGTGCTGTAGATGATTGGTCGGGAGGCTGGCAGAATCTTGGGTCCCAAGTCCAAGCAATGTTTAGTTTTCTCTGCACGCATGCTCATGAAAAAGCTTGACGCTCATTGCGTAAGCTAAGGAACGGCAACAGTTGGGATGGAGGCTGGGATGGCGGCTGGGAGGATCCATGGCAAGAGTTTGCCGAGTTTGCCGCCGCTGCCCTTGGCAAAGGGCCAGGGAAGGGCGGGAAGAGCCAAAATGAGGAAGGGAAAGGCAAGCGTGGCAAGGGCAAGGGAAAGAAGGACGATTTAGAGGTCGTTGTCAAAGGCTTCCCCTCAACTACTGATGAGGCCACTTTGCAGGCATATTTCTCATCATGCGGAGAGATTACACGTGTCAGCATCCCGCGGGCAAAGGATGGTTTGCCCAAAGGGGCAGCTTTTGTGGGTTTCACCAACCAGGAAGGAGTGAACAATGCGCTGACCTTGGACAAGTCCCTCTTCATGGGCAGCGTTTGCATCTCCGTCCGCCCTGCTGGAGAGAAGCATGAAGGTGGAGGCAAGAAGAAAAGCAACGACGACCTGACCATTGTCATCAAGGGTTTCCCCGAGCATGCGGACGAAGCATCCCTGAGTGCGTTCTTCTCCTCCTGCGGTGAGGTGGCACGAGTCAACCTGCCACGCAACAAGCAGGATGGCAAATTGAAAGCTGCCGGGTTCATAGAGTTCAAGACGCAGGACGGATTCAATAATGCTCCTTGCATCGCTTCAGACATGGCAGGAATGTAGCCTATTCAGGACATGATTCTGATAAGGCTTGATAATACTTGGGCCTTTTGCTGCCTTGTATGAACATTGAGGCTCTCAAGTACGACAACTTCCTCTACATGGGCTGCCCGCTACGGATCAAGGCTGCCGCAGACAAGGGCAAGGGAGGAGGCAAAGGCAAGGACAAGGAAGATGAAGTCACCATCGTTGTGCCTTGACTGGTTTGCAAGATTTGGTAGGGAACATACTACAAGACAACTTGTTCTGCCTAGTAATCTACAGAAGAACCAAGGTGAAGGGTGCCGGCCTTAGTGTTTGTGCACATCTGATCACTTTGAAGTGCCTGTCTGCACAAATGGGCTCAGGGATGCACTCGTACCGAGAAGGTTTTCTTTGCAACATGACACCTAACGCTGACGGAACCCTGTGTCAGAATGTTGAATGAGCCCCAAAGTATGTAGCCAAAGCTCGACCTGCATGCGCGAGCACCGGCTGGCATCCCACGAAATCATATTTTACTTGAGAAGATTTCTAGTATGCTCTACACCCCAACCCCTCGCTGGTCCAGTGATTTGGGAGAAGGAATACCCGCCTCCTGCTCGTGTGGTCTGGAGTTAGGTCAGTGCTATTCACGGCATTTCGCAGGGCTTGCCATGTTTCACGGGATTTCCGTGTAAGTTCGGGTGGAGTGCTGGTAGTTGAGAAGGCAGCGGTGGGAAAGTGCCAACAGTGACGCGGATGGTAGTTCGGGAGGTCTGAAGCGACAACAGCTCAAGGACAGCGACTTGCACATGCACGATCCCTGTGAGCACGCTTGAAAGGTAAGAGCTGTAAGCTCGGGGCTGGTGACCTTGCACCATGGAATGGGGGGAGGAGTGGAATGAGAACGCAGGCGCATGCAAACGCCTGCAGTGCAAGGTCTCATAAGCTGGGAGCTTTGGTGGTTATCTATACTTGCTGGAAGGGTTTGTAGTTGCTACTGCAACCTACGCCCTGGCAAAGGCTTCCCGTCAGAGACGGACGAGCAGATGTTGCACAATGCCTTCTCAGTGTGCCTCAGCTTTCAGATGGCTGGGCTGAAGTTGTTGTTTGCCAAATATTCAGTCACCTGCAATGTTGCATGAAGCCGCGCAGAAATCGCTGCGCGGCCTCGCTTTTGCCACAAATCAGAGACTCCGTAATCCACACGCTGGCTTTCAACATCTTCAAAGCTGTCAGCATTCACTCCTTTAAGTTGGTGATGATTATTGTTGCCGCCGTCGTGGTCATCATCACCAGCATCGACCTCACGAACTGCTTTCATGAGAAATCACCATTTTGGGATTTCCCTGCATTTTTCCTTTCCATTTGGAAAACACTACTTTAGGCTGGCCCGGTCGCCTTTGAAACCTGAGTTGTCTTACTGGCCAGGTGTGGAGAGATTGTCCGATTGAACTTGCCTCGAGGGCCTGATGGCCTGCCGAAAGGTGCCTTTGTTGTTACTGTAAATCTCAATGCTACGGGTTAAGGGCTTTCTAGAGGTTCTAGGATTTACGTAGAGGTAGATCGGGATGTACAGGGTTTGAGTTGCCATTCTATTCAGGGCCCTCCTATGTCAAAAGGATTACAGCAATCCTCAGTCAGACGTCAGGTTGTTGCCAAAGAATCAACCATAGCATGGATAGATTTCAGATGGCCATGATAGTGACTTAATTCAAGTTCTCAACGGCAACCCAGTCAGGCTGAGAGGCCAGCACGCTTGCATTACCTTGGGGCTTACAGGAAGATGTCACGAAGCTGAATGTGATCACTAGGCTCTTGATTCAGAAGCAGAACGGAAATTGTTCTCCATAAACTCCCGAGTGCGTATTAGGAGCTGGGGAACGAAATGCAGGGATTACTACGGGGTCATATATAGGCCGTCTAAGACATAACAGATTGAAAAGGTAAGTTTCAATGCCTAGCTACTCAGAAGCATCACTCACACCAGAACAAATTAAGTACTTGATTTTGGTACTTGCCACTCACCGGCAACGGTCCCCCCAGCCTTGAAAGTTACATTACAAAGACATGTCACTGGCTAGCAGATTGTCAGAGGGCAGTTCGTGTAACCCGGCAGTGCAGAGCGTGCAGAGCAGGACAATAACTGCCCCAAGTTTGCTCAACGCACATCCATGTCCAGTGCTGCTCCAGACCCTGCCTGACAAAAGGCTAACGCCCTGACCCTGAACTCTTGGCTACGAGGTACCGCCTTTATTCAGTTCACAGCAGACGAGATGGTTCAGAGGCTTTGCGTCTGTCAGCTTCCCTGCGTTGGAGACATGGTCGGAGCAGTTTCACATGGCATTGGAGTGCGGATATGCTTTATTTTCTGAAAGGTAGGTTCTTTGCATGAAAGTGCACTGCTTTTCTGCGTGCAAAGAGTCGGCGTTTCAGGATGTAAGTTGCTAAGAGCTTACATATTAGCACATAGGTTTCTGGTCTGGCCTTGCCGTGTTTGATATGGACATGTTCCTGTGGCATGCTCTCGCTCTACTCAACTTTTCCGGGCAGGGCATGTGAGCTGGACGGCTCCAGCCCCTTCGGGGGCACTGCAACGATCAGCAATGTGGCCGCAAGAGTAAAGCTGGGTAGGTCATGCTTGCAAGAAAGCTTCTTCAATGCTATTTTTGGAGCATCCACAGGCTCAGTGCGGGCCAATGCAGACAGGACTGTTCATCTCCCTGGGGAATGTCCTGTCAGCTGATAAACCGTTGGCATATGGAGGCCTCTGACTAACAGCAACACCTTTCAAACTAACGAACGAATGCAGGGCGCTTACCAGCCTCTATGATTGAATTGTGCGTTGCCTCCTACCCATCCCATGAGTGGAGAAAACCAGATTTCACCATATTTCACCTTATGACAACCAGAGAGCCAGAGAGCTCAGGCAGGATCAGAATGCAATAATTATAGTGTTGACAACTGCAGCAACAAAGGAGAGTGGTCACAAGAGCTGCCCCTCCAGGAAAAACAGCAAGTCAATCCAGACAGACAACCTTGCTGAGATGGGGTGGTTTTACGATAGACGTGCAGCACATGTTTTCCATGAACAAGCCTTGAGAATGGAAGACAAGTCTTCTTACCCCCCCTACAACAGCCCTATCCTAATCACTGCCTGCCTTGTCTCTCTCCTAGGTGTGCATCGTGCTTCTGACAAGGGCAAGGGCCAGAAAAATGACGATCACACCGTGGCGGCTTGCCATTTTCTGTGATTTCCAAGCGGAAGTGGGACACAGACTTTGAACTTGGGGAGGCCTTGGTTAATTTGCTTTGGTCATGTAGGAGTTATTCAGAAGGACCATTTTCTTGGGGCTTGGCATTTAAAACTCATACCCAGGTGGTCCGCGGTCTGCCCGACTGGATGACCGAAGCGCAGCTTAAAGCCGACTTCGCCACCTGTGGTCAGTTGAAGCGAGTGTCTTTGCTTGACATTTGCATAGTATAGCAGTTGCTCGGAACACACACGCGTGTATGGCGGTAGCATTGCGACATGAGAAGCAGCGCCTGTGAAGCAGCACCATCCGTGGGGGCTTAGTCTTACGGCGGTTTTCTGCTAGGTGGCGTAGGAAGTCAGCACCTGCCTAGTGTGATCGTCCAAGGCCTCCATGCCCATGAACAAGGAGGGCAAGGGCAAAGGCTTTGTCCGAGGCTCAGGCTCTTCTCGGCGATGGTTGGATTTCGTATTCCTACACTGGTAACTTCTGGAGGGGAGGCAGCACAGGTCTGCCGACAGGTCTTTTCTGTTGCAGTGCCCGAATGATTGAACTGCAATCTGTTCTTTGCACACGTCAGCTACATGACTCAAAAATCGGAGGGGCACAGCCTGGCAGGAACAGTGCTTCCCATTCCCAAGGCATATGTGCAGTACAAGAACGACGAATCGATGACACTTTGCTAAATTCAGGAGAGATCACTCCCCCTGGGAAATGCAGCAGACTTGATGCTAGTGTTGGCATTGGTGGTGTTGTCCTCGGTGCATGATAAGAGGCCTAGTTGCTTGCCACTGCAGTTGCTGCTGCCTCTGCCACCAAGACCATTAACAATATTGTTACCGCCACAGCTACTACTACTCGTACGATTACTTCTGTTATTCCCCACATTCTGTGCGGGGTTCTAGTTTTTAGGTGCACCGTTGCCCGGCACCCTCCGCGTGCTCTTCCTTCGCGCAAACATTTGGGACGCGCCTGTGTTCGCTTCAAAATCGCGTTCTCGCTCGAGACATCCTCAAAGATCGACGTTTTTTATCGGTAATCGATCCAAAAAATAGGAGCCATCGCCTTTAAAGTGCTCTTGGTAGGGGGAGCTCGTATCCGAACGGGACGGCACTGCCGATTTTCAAAAATCGCGCTCCCGCGCGAGACATCCTCATGTTTTTTTGCGTTTTTCGGACTTTATAAACTCTCAAAAATTGCGCTCCCGCACGAGACAACTCGAGTTTTTGCCGTTTTGAACATCTTCGTATCTTCAATAATCGCGCTCCCGCTCGAGACATCCTCGAAATGTTGTCGACTTGTCTTCATCAAAATCGATCAAAATTGCGCTCCCGTGCGGAGCATTCGGAAAATTTTGATCATTAATGAACGATGATGTCGAGCGTTTCTATACCAATCCTATACCAAATGGACTTCGTTCGAGGTGGCTTTCCGGGCTCAAGAGGGAGGTATTTTGCGGAGCTTTCCGGTATAGGATTGGTAGAGGGTAATTCATCGTTGCTAGCCTGTGGACCTGCAATGGGCTTGATTGACATCCAGTTCATCGAGACCACGACGTGGTTCCCAAGCAAGAATGATAACTTAACAGTGCAGAAACGACACAATAAGGAGGACAAAGTGAGACTTACCTGGTCGAATGGTGGTTTCCTGGCGTCTGCGCCTATTATGAGACGGAAAAATTCTGGTGCAAGGTGTGAGCTTGGCACGCTGTCCGAGATTCAGTCTTAGTGTACAGGTGAGTAAACCTGGCTCAGGTCTACACGAACAACCATGTTCGAGTTGAGAGCGAGATGGTGATCATGTGCCATAAAATGAAAGTATGTGTTTTCTTCACGTTCGCATCGCCAGCTCCTCGCATCGCTCAGACCGATCGTTTCGTCTTCTCGTCGCTCTCCCTATCGTCGCGATTTAACATTTTGTCTTTTTATTTTCTTTCTTTAAATATATCTCCTTCTGTCTTCGGCGGGCGACGGTATCTTACTAGTGTCTCACTTAGATTCGGGTTGAACTACACATGTGGGGTTCTCCGGTCCTTTAATTTTGATTACTGCTACCACCAATGCTACTGCAACCACCACCACTACTATTATTCCTGGCACTAGTGGCCATCCCCAGAAGTGCCATTGTGGCCATCGCAACAACAACGGGCACCATGATTTAGAAAGAGCAGCCCAGGAAGAAGGCCTTGGAGTGGAACAGCACATGGTACAAAGGGGTCACCATCACGGTGGAGAAGCTGGGTGAGGAGAGCAAAGGCGCAAAATCAAACAATCCCCTTCTTTATTCCGAGTATCTGACTGCGGGGGTGATGTTGTGACATTTTGGTGGTAATGCTCGTGCGCATGCTGTTTTTCTGATTTTCGCTCAGCTTGAATGAAGTTGCGGTAGGTACCCCAAGAATTCCCTGGAAGCCTTCCAGTCTGGGGCAGCACTTGCTGCGCAAATCTGATCCCGGGAAAGTTTTTCAGGACAAAATGTGAGGGTATGAAGACTGTAAAGATGTGAGGGAACTTGCAGGTTCATGCAGTCCAGCATGGAACATTGGGTTGCTTCCAAGCCATCAAGGCTTTTCAGAAAACTTGCATGGACCTAAGAGATCGTAAGAACGTCTCAGATCGGGTAGGGTCACGAGCATGAGTAAACGGAAAATCTTCTTTTGCACATGTTTCACGACGCCTATGTTTCAGGCTCTCCAGGACCAGAACCTTCTAAGCCTTGTAGTGCATATTCGGAGGTCGAAGACCTGTAACATGACCGAAGTTGACCCTGCGTAAAAAGAATTTGTGGCTACTGGGGCCAGGCCAATAGAATAAGAAACGTCGCAAGAAAAATCTACCGGCTTCGAGTCAGAAATTTTTTGGCATAGTACAGAGGCAGAGACATGTCCAGCGATTCGTGTCAAAACCAAAAGGGAGCTTCGGAGAGCTCTTTGAATTCTTCTGTACGCAGGCAAAGGCCGAGGCCGACGAGGACGCGAGAAGAAGGAGAAGCTACCAGACGGGCCCACGATTCATGTTCCTTGTTCGTGTGGTATACACCTTTTCAACCTTTTGCGATCTTTTGGGTTTTTTTTTGGCTTCGCATAGTAGTCATGCTGTGAACAAACATGTGCAAGAAACAAGCTCTTCCGCCGGTGCTTGAACTTGCAAGGTTGGAAGCCTGTCCTACGAGGCGCACAGGGGTTCGAGGTGAAATCTTAGGTACTTGGTGTTGTGGGGCTAGTGTCTAGGGTATATAAAACGTGTGTCGACCAACAAAAATCTCAATGACCGGCTCTTCAATATATGGGCATGTGAAGTGAAGCCCTGATGATGCTTGTGTATGCGGACGGGTTTTGGGGGGTAAGTACACTGGGTTTGGGGCTTCGGGTTGGGATTTAGGGTGGCCAGTTGGAACTTCCACTAACATCCTCTTCATCCCTGGACTTGGGCCTGGCTTAGCTCTCAGCTCAAAAAATTGACCCCTACTGTCTGCATCGCCTCAAGAAAGGCACATACAGAAAGGCTGACGCAACAAATGGCCTAAGTTACTGTTTCAGTGCGCCATTGATGCGACCACCCCTTTTTTGGTCACACTGATTATCGCAAAGCTTCCAGTGCCAGATTTGAGGCCTTTCCATGAATTTCAGTTCCGAAGACTCAAGGCCAGCAATCCGAACAACTGATGGGCGAGCGTAGCTGTAAACGCAAAGCCGAGGTTGATGACGAGACTCTTGGCACTCAATGGCCAATCCAAGCTGCATGGGCATTTTCAGAGGTTTGAAGCGCATGGCCTGTCAGGATTCCAAGGTGCTGGTTGCAGTTCAGCTGTAAAATCGCAAATGGCAATGGAGATGCAGCACTCGGCACTCTGCATAAGCCTCTCCAGACGGTGGACTTGCAACACCAGGGCTGTTGTCGCCAGTTGCTGTTGCCTTTCTGTAGCCTGCTAGAGGGTTTAGCCCGGCTCAGAATTGTTCGACAGATCCAGAAACACCATGCCGCTTTGGAAGCACAAGCTATTTCCTTCTGCCCCCGGGTTAAACAGACTCGCCCAACAACATATAGGCTTGATGGAGACCATGAATATTATACCACGACTGTCCCCAACACAATCCCAACACCACAACCAGCAGCAGCAGCAGCAGCAGCAGCAGCCGCCCCCGCCGCCGCCAATATGAGATACAGCGGGAAACCAGCGCAGCAGCAGTTGAAACGGAAGCGGCAGCACCAATGATACCCACGGGGGAAAGTAAACAGCAAAAAGGTGAGAGAGCTGTGCTAGTGACTGCTAGTGGTGCTAGTTTCCTGCGGCCTCAGATGCCCCATGATCCTTCCTCAAACATGGTGAGACTGAGGATGTTGAAGCAAGCTTTCGCTGCCTGTGGAGAGGTTGTGGCAAGCAGAGTCGCTGCGCTGAATTGTGCTTAACCCCTTTTGTCTTGTGTCAGATATTCCTCACGATTTGCGGCTAAGGCCCATATGGCAGCATATCTGCTTGCGGGTAGCTATTAGGGGCAATAGCCGCATGTGTGGAGATGTGCGGGGTGCACCGTGTTAAAAGACTTCCAAATCAAAAATGCAATCGATATGAAACTGGGCTCGGCACAGCTTGGCAAGGATAAAGTCTGCATTGTTAATTCCTACAGAATTGTTCGAGATGCTGCGGGGACAGCAGTATCAACGCTGCATTCGCACCCCCAGCTATCCTTCATGCCATTGTTGCAGTGGCAAGGACTTCTCAGCCAGAAGTCTTGAAGTTACGGCGCGTTGCCTGAAGTGCCACAAGTACAGCCTTGACGTCGGCACATGGTCGCTGGCCATGGCTGACTGGACAAAGGAAACCTTGTCTTGGAAGCTTTGAGGGACCCTGTCGCTCTTAGGTCTTGATCAGTGGCAAAGGCAAGACCAAAGGAAAGTCTCGTGGGACTGGCGCCTGCATTGCAAGAAGGACATTGTCTAACCTTGGCAATGATTTGCTAAAAAGGTTCTCCTTTGTGTGACGAAGTGGCATGCTTGGGGAAGGGATCGCAGGTCTTGGTGCAGATTTTTACTTCATGTTTAGTTGCACAAGAGGCCTTGGAATCTGCAGAGAGAAACCTAGAGTCGGGTCCATTGCAGTGGTAGGCACGAGGCAAAATCCTTGTCATCCGATGGAAAAGACCAAAAATCTCTGGGATGTGCGCACAAGAGCAGGGGTAGTCGGCAATTAGAGAGGCGGGAAGCATGCTTCTGCCTTCAGCGCCAAGGTTTGGTTGTGTTTGCAACAGAAGAAGCCCAGAAAAAGGCTGTGGCAACCATGAACGAGGCTTGTCCTGCTCTTGCCGCTTATTGCCACAGGCTGAAGGTACAGGTTCTTGGAAGTATTACAGCACTATAGGGGCTATTACGTTCCCAGGTTTGAGGGTACAGAGGCCTGGTACATGTGACTCCGGATGTTGGAGGCAGATCCAGACCATGTGAAGAGACCATACTGGGACCCATTAGAATCTGGTGTTGAAATCCTTCCATGATTGACAAAAATCATTAAACTACTTGAACTTAGATCTTGAACAGCAGGGGGGGAGGGCTTCAGGGCAGAAGGCCTGCTGCAAGGAGAGCATTTCAGAGCAAGCCCTGCACAGCAATGATTCCATGGTCTCCATTCCTCTGAGCGCTCATTCTTCTCCTTCATTCGCTCGTTGAATAAAGTGAGTGAAACAAGTGAAGAAAACTCACTCCTCTCATCATGGGTGTTGTCCTTTCAAGATTTGCCTCATGGGATTGGTTACTAGAGCTAATGAGAACTCCTGGTAGAGAAATTAATCGCCGACATGAAGATATCTCGGTCAATCCCAATCTTTTCCAGCAGTAACCGTATCATATCATCAGGCGGTAATAAATTTCCCGTCATCAAACATCCTTCTCGTGGCCCCTTACTTGTACTGAGCTCCATGAGTCCTCTAGAAAAGACAGCAGATTGATCATGTTGTAGCCTGAATTGGGAGGACCAGGATCAAGGCCGCGGAGCAATGAAATCTCTGGCCTAAAATTGAAAGAGCCGTGTGCAAGCCATGTGGGACAGGTCTTACCTGAGCACAAAATTGGATTAATTGTTCACGCCGAAAGTTCAATTGAAACAAACCCCCCAGAGGCAGAGAATGACTGAGGCGTCCAGCTTAACTCAGTATGCTTGCCGTCCCCTATGCTGAGACCATGTCACCGTCATGTATGAATCTTTTCTCATATACAGAGGGTCCGACGGCTTGAACCCTTGCTGGTCAGTCTGTACAAAGCTGGCTTCAATTCCCCTGTGAGGTGGAACTGGCTGGGCGACAGATCACCGTACGCGAGTACACACAGGAGGAAGAGGTGACTAAGCTTGCGATTCAGGGGGCGCCTGGTTTTTCTGTGTCTGCCGTTGCCAGTTACCAGGCCTGTTGCTATCATATTCGCGGTCAAGATGATCACCATTATCACGACAAGTCTGTAAAAAATATGTCCCCACTCTTGCTTGTAGTTCTCGTTGTCGCTGGTGTCCTGGGCTTGCTTGTGCAAGAAGAAGTAGCAACTGTAGCAGTAGCAGTAGTTGTTATCGGTATTTCAAGTTGCTTGCTACGATTGGGCAGGGCATCTGAGCATTGCCAGGGTGTGCGCACGCAGACTTTCATGTGAGATTCCCAGCCTGGTGTCCTCATTTGTGCTGCTCAAGCATAGACTGGGCAAGCTACGCGTTGATTTAGGGCCCTCATCCCAGCTTCAAGGGCTTCAGATGCTGAACCTTATATAACCCATTATAGTAGCCTCCATTTTCTTTTCCATTATCCCCATAGAACCCCAAGGTAATCCTAATATTACCGCAATGGGTACCTATATCCCTTAACAGCTACCGCTTCACTCCTGGAGTTTCCAAAGCCAAGGTCAAGCTTGACTTCAGCGCGCTCGAGGGTGAAGGTGACAAGACCATGCTGGAGGAAGAAGAAGAGGATGCCCTTCGGCCGAGCTGAATCCAAACCAACGTTGAATGCACCATCTATGTAAAGGATGGCCGGCTGTAGAACTTGGTGCGCGGCGTTTTCGAATTTCTACTAAGTACCTGTGGCAAGATTGACCGCAGTGATGTGCATGGACTCCATGTCCACGACCGTTGCGGCCCATCATTAAGAAGCCTTCAGAACCTTCCTATTTCCAATGGGATCTGATCAGGGCCTTCAAGATGGTTCCCCTTATAACCCAGCTTTGTGGGCAAATCAGCTCTCTGAGGACTGGGAGAACTTCGATTGGGACGCTGACAACGACGATGGCTCCGATGATGAGGAAAAGGGGGCGGTGGTATAAGGTAGGGAGTACATACAATATTCTGAGGGATTATTCAAAAAACGGTTGAATGGCGTCCACATGGTGAGGTGTCATGTTGGGAAACCGACTAGCTTGGGTTCTTGCAGTCTCAAGCTGCAGAGACAGCGATTGCTGCAAGTGGGGCCGAAGGTATTTGCGCGAATCTCCTTCAAACCATGGTCTTCCAACAGCTGTCGAGTTCATCTTTTCATAACCTGCCCTGCCCGCCCCCAGTCTTCGCGCTGCCAGGATGAAGATGACGACGAATGGGAAGAAAGAGAAGATGAGGACGAGGACGAGGCACACGTAGGAAGCAGTGAGTCAGTGTGAATAGTGACTAAGTATGGAGTAGTTTAGCACGAGCTCACTCTCGCCTGTCAATATCCCAAGTTGCGAGAGAATGGCCAGGAGACGCACCAGCTGTATAATCATAACAGCCATTATCTAAACTCCTAGCATCCCCCTGAATAACCCCTATAGTACTCCCCTTTATGCTCCCCTGTACAACCCCCCTTTAACGAGTTTAGACCATAGCTCATAAGGGTCTGGTCATTTTCGATGGCTGAAGGGCTGGATGTCTGACCACCCAGATCATTCCACTTAATGAGCCTGGAAATAAAAAGGGTCTTTTCGCCCCGCACGGGAGCATGTGCCAGACTGATGGCCGTTTGTTTGGCTGGCAACCTGATTAAGCAACCGGGGAGAGATGCGAATTGCACAGGCAGAGGGCAGCGCAGCAGGGACGGCGCCGCAGCAGGCAAGGGGGGCTCTGTTGAGTAGTTCTATGCCAAGTTTGAAAGCCCTGTGGCTCCAGCGTCCGTGAAGCCATGGAAATTTCGTGCCAGAATATCAAGGGTGGATTGCAGGTCGAGACGCGATGTTCGCAAGGTTTGTTACTTCAGTACGAAGGGTGCTACGCCAGCTGGTAGGCAGTTTGGGGATGTTGCGGCCTCATCGACTATCTTTCAGCAGTTTTCACCCGAAGCTGGGGTGCAAGAGTTGCTGTGTTGAAAGGGCATCGGCCTTGGCGGCCTGCACGTCTGAACTCAGAAGAGTCCGAAAACGATAGCTCGGCGTCTGTGCGACCGGCAAAAGGTTGATGGCCGTGTTGTAGACGGAAGCTGGCTTCGCCCCCATGTCCTCCAACATGTTCGGTCTGCGCCAGTGGTTATCCGAAGATTCCGTCAAAATCCGAGCCTGCCTTGCGTCTCGCTCGGGCACTTGAGATCCAGAAAGTTCTTGTTGCACTCCCTTTGCTTGAACCGCACCTGTACTCTGAATTGCGCGCTTCGTGCAGCAAGATCCTACGGATTCCAGAAGCCATTTCGTAAGACATTTGAGCGCAACTTGCGCGGTAATTGCAGAAACTCCATGTGCAATTGCAACCCCAGCAGCCCCATAGAAACTTGCACGCAGGTCAACATGGCGGCAGCAGCGCAAGCTATGCAACTGCAAGTTCCGATGGACCTTCTGTCATATGAGTGCATCTCATAACTGTTGGTTTTTTGGGTGGCGATCATGTTTTTCAGTGGGACTTGTATGAGTTGTTTGATTCGACAAGAGCGTATCCAAAACTTCTCCTGACGACAAGAACTTGAAATGGACAGCGTTTCTGCTAATCTTGACCAATCCCAATGAGGAATCTGGCATACACAGCTGATTACTGTTTCTTGCTCTCACTGCCACTGGCGCTTGTGTTTCAAATCCTTCGTCACCGTAGTATCATGACAAGTACCTTTCCGAGACGGTTTCTCAAGATTGCGCGACTTTTCTTAGTGTCTGGGCATGTCCAGGTGGCCTAATGTTAAGAAACTTCCAAAGCCTTTAAAGCTTCAGCGCAAAGCAGCAGGATGCAAGCGCTGCGCAGGCCTACGCTGCGGCTGCGTCCCAGGCCCATGCTGCCCGTAGCCTTGTCAGGCTTAGGGTATACGCTGGGGGTCTTTTTTGGTCGTGCCTTTTCGTTGAAAGGAGTTTACAGGTTGTAGGGGCGTGGGGATGGCAGACATAGAGTTTCAAGAGCCAGCCTGGGGTAGATAGCAAACAGGGAGATCGTGGATGTGCTCAAATTCTGGGCTTGCATGTCATGTCGTCATGATGTCCAAATTATGATGTGCAGTGAAATTGCTAGTAAGCGGGCCTTACGTGCCGGTTCATGCAGCTTCAGCAATGCGTGACTGCAGCTTAAAGGTTGCCTGGCATGGCAACGTAAATTCCATTCCTTCCTCTGGTGAGCGCCAGACAGTTTTGCTCTTGATTCAGCTTCGGTGCTTGCTGTCAAGAAATTGGTTTCGTGCTCATCTCCTGACCTTCCCTAAATTCATAGGCAAACGCCTGCATACTCTGAAAGGCAGAAGGCATGAAGCTTGGCAGCGTGAAGGCTTACGATTTGATAGCTTGCCCCTAGACATCAGCTGCACACCTGAATGATCTTGAATGAACTATGGATGGCATTGTCTCTGAATGCTTCTACCTGTGCATTCCATAAGGTTTCACCACGTGGCGCCCAAGAACCATGGTGCCGTCATCCACTCTTTACTCACTTTCAGCCGAACTTACAACAAAGATTGCCAACTTCTATCAGCCCGCTATGAAGCACTCCTCTTCATGACGGGGGGGACCTTGGGCACTGTACACATCTCTTCCATCATCAATATCATGCAAGAAGGGTCTTTGCTCTGCTGCAGGTGCCGATGGAAGCACAGCAGGATGGCGCAGCCGCCGCGGCAGACGAGGGTCTGCCGGCACAGCAATGCACTGTCCGCTAATTTTGTTGGCACTTGCGCTTGGGGATTCGGTGGGTAAACTGAAAGCCTTCAGAAGGTTCCTATGCACATCAGGCCTGCGTATGTAAATCCATGTGTCTTCTTCTGGTGTAGATCCAAGCCTTGCAACACAGCGGTCTTTGCAAACAGCACACGTGCCGTCCTCCAGTGTACTTTCTTGATGCGAGAAGTTCGTGAAACCGGCGGGTCCATGTTGCACGGCTTTGTGGGCTGCAAGAGGTGACAAGCAGAATGACCGCGAGAAGAAGCGGAGCCGCAGTCGCAAGCGCAGCAAGAGTCGGAAGAGGAGAGATGCCAGGGTGTAACACGGTCTGGCCCAATGCAGCCTTGTGCGCTCCTCGTATTGCCTTTCGCTTATGTTGCCAAATAACTTTAATCGACTTCGAGGAGGAAAATGTGGCATGTACAGAAGTTTCTTTTGCTCAAGACCTGTTCGAACCCGAAGGCCTTATTAAGAGTTGTTCTGCAGAAGAGCGTCTGATTTGTTCTTGAGGGTTTTGGCAGCTGGATGCAAACCTCCTCCCCAAGAGGCCAAGTACTCACTGATTGTCACTCCCGATTATTAGCAGGCTTCTCAGGCTCGACGCTGTTTCTGGGGGAATAACACAGGCTTGGTAATCCGGGATTTGAGCAGTCATTCGCCCACGGATGTCAGGGAAGCGGAAAAATTGTTTCCATGACCTCAGAAGCCAGGTAGACCCGCATCAGGTTTCAGGCTTTCAGAGATGCATGCATGAGAAAGTACTTCCTCCAAAACAATTGCATTACAACATGTGACAAAACTTGCGCGATCCCGAGAACCAGGCCCTTCGTGAATCCACCCATGATTCCCACAGAACGAGACACAGCTCACCATCCATGCATGACCCTTGTAAACTTTCCTAGTGGTAAGAATCCCCACCACACCCCCCCCAAAACGAACACTTCTCTAAAAGCTCCAGTGGTATTGTACAGGGAGCATTAAATGTACTTCTACAGGCATGGTGTGGGGCTTAGTCTACAAGGTTCCTGAAAATGATTTTTAATTTCTGTTACCTAGAATCCTAATATTTAGCTGAAATTATAATTTCTACTGGGGTTCCAAATCTCTTAGAGTAGTGACAAGTAAACTGTCGGAGCTCTCAAAGAAGGAGCCGAAGCCGCCGTCCCCGAAGGGCAAGGCCCACGGAGCCGGCCGAGGAGGCTTCCAAGATGTGGGGGGTGTACCTTTAAAGGGGTTATATAGGGGTTATATAGGGATATATAGGGTTTAGGGTTTAGGGTTTCCCAAAATTTCGTGTACCTAGTATAATGGAGAATCAAATAGAAAAGAAAATGGAAAATGAAATGGAAAATGTCAGAAAATAGAGCATTTTTAGGGTTTAGGGTGGATATAGGGACATTACCCCAATAATGGAGAATGAAATGGAAATTGTGATAAAATAGGGGATTATAGGGATTAGGGTTTCCAAAAATTTGCGGTACCTTTTTGGGGGCCCGCATAATATGGACTATAGTATATTGGGGTCCCCTTATTTAGGGAAGCTACCATGTAAATCCTGGGGACCAAAAACGTGATAATGGAGAGCTCAACGAAAAATAGAATGAAAGCCCTACGTTCTTTCAAAGGGTCTACAGGGTTACATATGAGGTTTTATGGAACAATGGAGAATCAAATGGAAAAACGAAATTGAATGGGATCGGTTGTCATGCAGGGTTTCTGTAGGGATGTGTGGTAGGATGGGGTTTCTCAAATCAAGGGGCAGCAAAGGATTCTGGCATATATTGGGATGAGGAGATGAGTATGGAGTCCCATCTAACAATTGTGGCATCAACTCCCTTGTGGGGTTTCAGGTTTAGGGGTTGGGGCTTAGGGTTTGATCTCTCCGTATGCAGCCACACCGTGGATGCAGGAAATCTTGCGCCAATTAGGTTACTGGGCTTGACCAGTACTCTTGACTTGGTGGAGGGTCGATCTGACGGCACAAAGTGAAGCACATGCACTCACGTAAGATGATGAGAGCGTACATGGTACATCTACTTCGCTTGGTGACGAGCCAGGCTGAGATCTTTACCTGTAAGAACATGAGGCCGAAGCTTATGTGTGCTGTCAGAGTACATAAATATTCTGCATCCAAGCAGCTTTTTAGTGCTCTTGATCTTGCAGGTGGAGCTCACGACGAAAGAGATGCTCAGCTTTACCTAGGCATTTTCAACATGTGTGGCAGACCCTCCTTTGCCGAGATTGCACAGCTGCACCCTTTGCGTGACACCTCTGATTTCATGTCTTGAAGCACTGAGGGAGATCCTCATTATGGATCCGGAGGGTGAGAAGATTCCGCCCACGGGATACAACACCTTTGACGAATGCCCCTTCCCTGCGGAAGTGCTGGATGAGGCCCAAATCTTTAGTCAAAGTTGTTCAACGCTTAATCCAAGTACCCAAGATTCCACCAACTCCCGTAAGTATTGTTTGAACATGTTTGAACCTAGTCACGCCATAAGCTACAGCCAGCTCAAATCTGGTGCTTTCGGGATGTGCTTCGCCTCTTAGCTAGGGCTTACGGATTGGGGCCAAGTTATCAAAATGGCAAACCTAATAGAGAAGAAACATGAAACAGAAACTGGAGTGTTTTCTACTGCACTGGAAGCGCGCTGTGCAACAGTTTGTTCATGTTTGACTGGCTGAATTTGCTTTTGGGCCTGGAAAGAATCAAGAAGATTCACATAAGCACATCACTAGCAATATTGAATGCCTCATGCTCTGGCAGGTGCGGAAATCTGGCTTCGTGAAACCCAGCCCGATACTTGCTTGCTTTATTGCTTCGCCAGCCTTGGCCTGCAGTCAAAATTCCTCTTCATCTTGAAAGGCTCTAAAGTGCCTTGTTTGGTTTCGTGGGCCATGTGGGGCCCAACTGGCGGGTTTGAAGCGCTCTGGAAAAACGTAACTTGTGCTCATGTTCTGGCTTGATGCAGATTGAAGATCTTCTTTTGGCCAAGGATCCAGATGTACTCTTGGCCGCTGGCGGTGCAGGGAAAGGACAGTCATCCACTTCGGACGTGCTGACTGTCAATTGTGTATGGGACGAAGCAAGAATTTTCCGAGGCACTGTGAATCGTAGAACTGAGCGCCACGGGTGTGGGTAATCCAAATATCCGGCTGTGAGAAAACCTTGGGGTGCAGGCCATGACAGCTTTCTCGATGTAATATTACTGCACCAAACTTGCCAGGATATCATCGGCATCGCAACAACTGGTAGCGGAAAGACGGTGGCGTTTCTGTTCCCAGCTTTCAAGCATTCTGGCAGCAATATCGCTTTCTGCAGGCTTCACCGAAAAAGATTGGTTCCAGGATGGCCAGCCCACACTGAGAGCTACCTCTCCTATCAATTTCGGGCTTCAATGCCGACCCCCCTTAATTTGTCAGCACATTGATAACGGATGGGCTATCCAACATACGAGCGTTTCAAAGCTGAATCCTCAAGGCTTGGGGGGTATACCAGCTTCAGGATGACGCACATTACATGTCTTCAGACGGAGGGTGGGGGGCAGGCAAGGTCGCCAGTGCTGTGTCTGAAGGCTGCCATCCTGGTTGTGGTTAACATGTCGAGCAGGTTTCCACATGAAATTCTGATTCGGATTTGACCATGGTGTAATACCAGCCAAAAGGCATGGCCGGTTTTAAGTGATGTTACCGAGTGCTTTCAGCAACTAGGAGCCCGGGCAAATGTCATAACATGTACAACTAGCTAGTAGATGTGAGCTTTCCTCTGGAACAGGGCTCTGTCTGGGCGGCAGATACCTCCAAAAAGCAATACCAGCAGCTTTCTCCTTCTGGCTGCTTTCCGAGGTTTATCATTGAGACCAAGGCCAAGGCTGATGATCCCACGTTGCTTCTTGGATGCCAAGACCCCACTGGGCGTGTGGTAGCATGGTAGCCTTTCTCGTTGGGTTCTCCCGTGATGCTGCTGACATACTTGGCGCAACTTTTGCTTCCCGATATTCCACAGGGAGAGGCAACCAGAACTCAGGACTCTCTGTGATTTGCAAGGGGAGGCAACCAGAGCACTGTGTGCTCGGCCGCGCGCAGAGCCAGATCGAAAAGCCAATCTCTCAAATTCTTAGCGAGGATCCTACCAGTAGGATTACAGAAGCAGCAGCAGCCGCAGCGGCAGTTGTCGAGAAGAAGAAAGCTGAGAAGCAACCAGAAGAATGAGAGAGAACATCTTGAGAACCAAGGCTTTGCTTGTCACCGACACGCGAGCTGGCAGTGCAAGTTGAGAATGAGGCTCACAAGTTCGGCGCCTGGCCTTTGCTCAGTAGACTTTGCGTCTTTGAAAGACTGCAACAGAGGGCGTTGCACCAATCCCGGGCTCCTGAGCGGAGTCGCTTCGGAAATTACTGTGTTACCCCTTCCCTGAGTTTCGCGGAAGGCCTGAGAAGCTAAGGAGTCTCCCTTGAACAAAGTGCTATGTCGCAGAACCTTTCAACAGCAGGTGCAAGATTTTGAAGAGCACCCAGCATTGGCGATCCCTGCATGGAAGCTTACAGGATCGCCAGGCTAAATATTTGCTAAGCCACCTCGCACGTTTATCGTAGTCAGACACTGGCGATGTATCATGTTAGAGGGGCAGCACTCAGCAGCAAGCACAAAAGCACTTCCAACCGAACACAGCCATGGAACCCTTTACCGAGACTACGCAGCCAGTATGTTTTGAACCCTTTTCTTCCTGATTCTTCGAGTCTGCAAGCCTCCGGCCTGTGTAAGATGCCCAAGGACGTGAGGCCGGCATCATCACCGTTTGCGTGTACGGAGGTGTTGGAAACAAGCGAGATCAAGGCAGAGACCTGGCGAAGGGCTGCCACGTGCTGGTGGGCACCCTGCTTTTTTCATTTTGCCGGGCTGAGAGGCGTACGAGGTAGGGTGTTAGATGGCTTCATTTGGCTCACCGCGGCCTAAAGGAACCGGGGTCTGCATAATGCGAATGGAACAATCATTGGCAACCGTCAGGCTGAGTTGCACTTTACCAGTCATAGCTCGCATTAGCGGAAAAGACCTGAGAGGGAGGCGCTCCGCCTTTAGAACCAACATGCCTTCCAAGTTGATGTCAATTCCCCAGACCCAGCAGCAAACTGTCAGCTCTGACAAAGTGAGTCATCCATGCAGATACAAGGTACGCCTGGTCGTCTGAATGATTTCGTCGAGGGAAAGGAGGTCTCCTTAAGCAATGTGTCCAAGTTGGTGGTGGACGAAGCCGACCGAATGCTTGACATGGGGCTTCTGGAGCTGGTTTCAGAAGGTGTTTCAAAGATCAGGGATACCTTTTCTGGGGTCCCGGTAGAAAGGACCATAGTGTTTTTGCGTTTATACGGACTAGAAAGAGTCTGTCAGATTCTCCATGTACCACCTGGCTGAGATCAGTGCATCCATGGCGTAAGGCATAAAAACATGTCCAGCTGCTGGGTTTCCTTAGTCGGCAGACAGGGACAACCTAAAGCTTTCGAAGCCTGAAAGCAGCTAAGGTTTGAGCCTCAAATTCGCAAGGCTGTCAAGGAGGTGAAGGATAAGATGGAAAGGCAGACTCTTTTCTTCACGGCGACATGGAATACCAACGTGCAAAAGATTGCCGCTGACTTTGTCAACAAGCCCTACCAGGCCGCGACAAGAAATAGTCCAAGCTTGACATGGGCTATTCTGCTTCAGAGTCCAAAGTCATGACATGCACCCAAATGTCCAGCCTCCAACTTGTCGGCTTCTCTTTGGCTTGACCTTGAGATTTCCAAGAGACTGCATTGTTGCAAATATCTTACATCGTCTCACTCAAGCGCTTGGATTTGCTCTGTAGCGCTGCTGAGACTTGGGAGATACGTGCCTGGTCTGGCATGCTAGGTGAAGATTGGAAGCACGGAACACTTGAAAGCCTCGGACAACATCAAGCAAATCGTCAAGATTGTCGACCCTGACAAGAAAGTGCGTCATTTGACCAAGCTCTTCCTGGAGTATGCAACTCGCCTAGCGAGCTGTAGTCTTTGCTGGCAGCCTCAGGAAGCTTCATGCTATGTCCAGTCTGGATCCAAAGGTCATGTTGCAGCATGTTTGGGATGACATCGTTTGATGACACACCGCTTCCCAGCGAATGTTTGTAGCTAGAAAAGTTTCCATGCACCACAGCATTCCGGCCAAGGATATCTCCGAAAAAGGTCGCGGAGAGAATCGCGCAATGATTTTCTGCAACACAAAGAAGACCCATGGCGGCAAGTGGGCTGTTCGTATGCCATAGAAGCGTAGGGAAGGAATCAGATGGCTTATAACCACCCTAAGCGCGCGGCTTCGGTCGCAAACTTCAAGTTCTCAGCTTGGCACTTCAAGCCCTAAAGCCTCTTGTTTTTGACTCGGGTCTTCGTTTCTTGTGTTCCGGGGGTTTGAGTGGCACTGCGATGTTTTCGGCTGTCTCCTTGGATTTGGGCCTCAACTTGTCTGGGCCTGAGTCTTGGGATGGGCCTTGACCCGGCTGTTACCTTGCTATGCTGTCATGGCTATGCAAGTGGCAATGTGTTTCTGCGCGGCCAAGGGTAGAGCACCGCACTAGCATAGCAAGGTTCGCAGAGGCTTGGCCATGGGGACTGCTTTCGAAATTCCTCCTGACAGCATTAGTAACAAAACAGAAAGAAGATTGAAAGCAACCCCACACGAGTCGCTGACTGGTCGCACTCACTCCCGAAGCGTCTTCAGGCCATCAAGGTTGCTCCATTTTCACTTGGCTAAAGATCCCTCGCATAAGGCTCAAAAACATGCAAGGCCGCGTTCCTCAGACGGGTTTGTGCCGAGGACCTGCGAGCAGCTAGAGGATGGATTGAATCGAGCAAGGGTGCGTTGTGATTCAATCCACGGTGACAAGGACGGCGTTTGTGCATGCAGCCTTTAAGAATAGGTGCTCCAACTCCGAGCCAGATTTGCAATCCGTACGGTACCACTCTCAGGATAGGTGTCCTGGGGTTTCAAGGACGATTCAACGCGGGGGATATGTTGGGCGGATTCGTTATGCAAAATATCACGCGGACGAGTGTTGAATGTTGTTCCGGACATCTTCAGGTTGCCATTGGGTAGCGTAAGACCTGGCTACTCCTTTACGGTTTTTGGATCCACTCCTGCAACATGCAGGGCTGAGTCTGCTCTTCTACTTGCAATTCACTTGGGCTTCTTATCACTATGTTTGGACTAGTAGCAAGTCTCATTGTGCAAATACTACTGGAGCACGACTCCCAAGTTTAATGTCTTACTGCTCAACTTGCTTTCGAATCTCTACAGCTATTCGTTGTACTACATAGATAAACAGCACAGACGGAAGAGTGACATGCTGCAGGCAGGCAGACACGAAGGCCGGCACACGGAGATGCATGTAGGAAAATTACATGAATGCGTTCTCATGTAACAAAACAGGCGCGTTCATTGCAGCCTGCCCTTCAAACGATATATGATACAGGCAGTACGTTCTGTTCACAACATATTTTTGGCTTCGTTTTTGCTTGGAACCGGAGCGGCCAGCCTTGACGAGTAGAAGCATTCTCGATAGGAGCAAAGGGAGCGTGAGAAGGCTCTCAACGATCTTCGGGATGGCTACACAAAGATCATCTGTGCAACAGACGCGTGCTTAGTTGGTTCAGCTGCAGCTGCAGCATGGCATTTGGCTATAACATATTGATTTACTACAGTCGTGGGACAGCTTGACACATCATGGAGAGAAGGTTCCAGGTAAGTGTAACAGTGCGCTCTCATACCGTAGCTTTGACAAGATAGGAATTTGCCGGCATCATGTTTGCAGCAGCGCCCATGCTCCGAATTCGGCAAGAACAAGCTGAGCTGAACTTGCATTCATCTGTTGCTTTCAGGCACTCCACCACTAAAGACATCTCCTCGGGTGAAGCACAAGGAAGCCATAATCCCGTATAGACGTTCTCATGAACCTTTGACAACAGGGACGGGTATAAGGCTTCTGGAAGCGTACTGCGGTTGCACGCCTCTCTACCGTCATACATGCACATTTCAACAGGGCTCCTACAGGAGCCACACCACTCAGGATGTGGCTGCGCGTGGTCTGGACGTCAAGGGCGTGACCTTGGTCGTGAACTATGACCCACCCAAGAATGCAGAGGACTACGTGCACAGGATTGGCAGAACTGGACGTGCTGGACATTCAGGCCACGCGCCCAAACTCCTGATACAAGCTTGACCAGGGTACTCCTTGTCAATTGTAGCTTGTGCACAACTGAGGTACTGCGGTAACTTTCCTGACGGACCGCGACGATTTCCAAGCCCGCCAAATACGTACCGTCATGCTCCGCAACAATCAGGAAGTCCCGCGAGAGCTCCAAGCCCTTGTGGATGGCACTCTCCCACGCCGGCGGCGCAGCCGCTCCAGGCGTCGTAGCAGATCGAGGCGGCGCAGCCCTCGTCGCCGCAGCAGGTCAAAGCGCCGCAGCCCGAGGCGGAGCCGAGACCGGCGGAGTCGAGATCGACGCAGCCGAGACCGCCGAAGCCAGCATCGGAGCCGAGATCGACGCAGCCGAGATCGTCGAAGCCGCGAACGACCTCGCAAGAGAAGTGAACCAAGAGATGCAAAATCGCAGTCGCCAGACCGGCCGGCAAGAGGTGCCTCTAATAACTTTGGGGACAGCGCCCCAGCTTCCGACCCAAGTCCTCAGGGCTGGACTCCTCCGCAGACGGCTCAATACCCCTCTCAGGCGTATCCAACACCAGCCCATCCTAACCATTATCCTGAGACCACTGCCATGCAACCATACCCAGGACAAGTACCGGCACAGGCAGCAGCCCCCGCCCAGCCCCAGTACAGCTGGTTGAAAACACCAGAACCAGCAGCACCCCTCAATCCAGCCCCCCAGTTCACGACACCTGCTGCGCACTATGCACCTGCAACTGGGTATGCTGCCCATGTTCCGCAGTGGGGTGCTCCACCACAGGCTGCCCCGCAAGTGGTTCCTCCACCCCAGCATTATGGAGCAGCACCCCAGCCCGCAAGGCAGTACAGCTGGCTCCAGTAGTGGAAAGACGTGACGTGACGGTGACCTTCGTGATGTTTCATGCACATATGTACAAGTGCTATACGGATTTTGAGTCCTCAGCGTAACAGCGCTGCCAAATTGCACGTGCAGCAGGCCAAACTACCCCATTGCGAAAAGCTGCAGACAACATGATTAGAATATGATGTATGATATTTTTGGTTTGTCGAGATGTCGTGAAGATCTTCTATATTTCATGAAAACAATATAGGGATACTAATCGTTGTCTCACAGAAAACAGAAGCAAATTCTCTTCATATTTCTTATCTTCCGATAATTACTATATTGGATCTATCTCTCAACGCTTTTTTTATCTATCTATTCTTCCTCTATTTCTTTATCTATTTATAAAAAGCATATGAGAATTGCTAATGAATATCAGTATATTGACATGAATCGAACGAAAATTGGACGTGTTATATTTTTTTGCAATATTGATTTTTAGATAATTCGTTGAAAAGTATTTGTTTAACATTCTTTCTACAATTTTATTCTATAGATTATATATTACGTCATTATCAGGACAAGGAAAAAATACTATACATTATGATTACATATTCTATTTGTCTGTATTCGTGGCAGAGCAGCACTAACTAACTTATTTATTAATTTGATGTCCTCGCATATTTGCCGGAATAATTCTATAAAAGAATACGGATTTAATCTCATTTTGATTGGGAAATATATTTATTAGGATGATTCTCATCTTCTTCTCATGATTTTGATCTCTTGAGAATTGTAGATCGATTAATCTCTTTTGATATCTATCTGTTTCTATTTATTTCTCTATTTGATTCTCTATCTATGTTATTCTTTCAAAGATTTAGGAAATCTTTGGAAAGTTATCTCTGAATAACAATCTCGATTTTAGATTCGCGTGGAGTGTCTATTGAAGAAAATCGATATATAGATTACTTGCAATATTCGCTCAAAGGTTTAAATCTTATTCGTTTCCGTCTTCGTATTCATTTCTTCATATTCTTTCTTTCATTTATCTATTGATTTCTAGATCTATTTATCTCTTCTTTCATTTATCTCTATGTCTATTTATCTATCTATCTCTCTATTAGGATATATATTTGATATCGCTATCTCTCTATCTAGGAATTTTATCTATATCTCTCTCTCTCTCTCTTCGAATTTCTATCTGATTATCGATATTTATATATTTCATCTATGTTCATCTAAATGATATTTGATCGATCGAATTGATATATTTGAATGATTCATTTCTTGATTAATTGACTTACGATTCAAAAGAAATTTATTATCTATTTCAATATTTGATAGAGATGAATCAGTTTATAATATGTATATATCTCTATTCTTCGTATATATTATTTATCGTTTTATCTATCTATCTATTTCAAGCATGATCTTATTCATTTGATTTTTCTTCTCATTGATAGATTCGATGGATTATCTTTGATAGAATTCATCATAGATATCCTCTAATATCAATATATAAAGATTGAGATCAAGATCGCGATTTGATTTTATTGCACGATTTTTGAAATGAATATCGTATTTCTCTCGTGATTTTGATTTCTTACCGGATCTAGATCGAGTGATTTCGAATATTACGGAGAAAAAAGAATTATTTCTAAATAAAAGAAGATATTCGTCATATTCGAAAATTCGTAGAAATTTGGAAAAGGACTAGATCTATATTATTAAATACGACGATAAGGATCCTCTGAATAATAAGAAAATTTGATCTATTTATCTATCTCTTTATCTATCTATCTATATATTTGATTATCGGTTTCTCTATATCTCTATTTGATTATTTATCGATTTATCTTTCTTTCTGATATTATCTTTATCTATATATTTTCTCTGATATTCTTTATCTTTGCCTATCCGTCTATCTCTTTATCTATCTATATATCTATTCATCTCTCTATTTTTATATGAATATCTTTTTTCTCAATCTAATTATCTATTAGATTAATTATTTGATTATATATCTTTCTCTATTTCTCCCTGATTGTCTGATGATTGATCTATTTATATTCAATATAATGACGAATATTCAATTCAATGAATTAGAAATAAGGAGAAATATATCTCGATCTAGATATCCGGAATAAAATTATAATTCTAGAATGCATTCTCCTATTCTATATCATTCAAGAAATTTATATTATTTATTATATCGATTTAGATCTCTAGATGAAAAGGATGATCTAGATCTTCCGCAATAGAATTCTATGAATATCAATTTGACATATATTTCGGAGTAATAGAAAATTGATCTTCTTTGATTATCTCTTTGATTATTTATCTATTAAATTATGATTGATTCTATCTCTATAAATATTTTCTTTTTATTTCTAGATTATCTCTTTTATCTACGAATTGAGAAATTGATGATTCAAATATGAAACCAAAAATATTCGTTGGAATCGGAAGTTCTTGGCAAGATTCAAAATCGTCGGATCCGAATCTTTCATTATTTTGAATTAGAATCTATTCTGATAAGATATCTATATAGATTAGAATATTCAATTTATCTTTTTTCTCTATAAAATTTTCTAAAGATATATTTCTTTTTGATCTAATTCATTTGGTTTTGATTCATCGGGAAGAGATTCCCGATCTAGATTCAAGTTCTTCATGAATGATAAGGTATTTATCTTATCTATCTAGCGATTTTATTCTCAAATCTTTTTATCTATATTGCATTCTATTTGATGATATTCCTGATTCGTCATATCATTTCTTTTATCCGAATATCTCTCAATCGATTTTATTTCTCTCTTTATCGATCTCTCTATTATTCTCTATCTATTTTCATAGGTCTTTATATTTTCGATTGAACTTATATTTATCGATTCTTATCTATCTATCTTTCTATCTATCTATATCTATTTCTTTCTTTTATATTTATCCGTATCTATCTATCTCTCTATCTGTCTATTTATTTTTCATTTATTTATCTATCTATCTCCATCTATTTACGATATGATAATAATCTAAATTTATCTCTAAATTGATATCTCTCTATCATTGATTATTCATCACATTCATATATTTCATATATTTTTGTCGATAGAATATCTAAATAGAAAATATATTTCTATAATTAGGAAGATATCTCTTTCCTCTATTTTATCATCTCTGAAGATTTTATTCTTGAGATTATATAGATATATTCTATCATATATATATTAAAATATTATATATTTATAGCCTCCTCTTCATTTCATAGATTTTATCTAGATGAAAACGAATAAGATTTCTTAATATCAATAGGATTTATATATCGTATCCTAGAATTTTTTAGTTTGATGAATATATTCTTTATATTCGAACGATATTCATAGGGAATTCTAGTTCTTATAATGAAGATGAAAAGAATCTGATATTTGATATATTCATATTCTAGATTCTTTAGCATATGGAGAATTTGATTTCTTTTCATAAGAATCTAAATATCTCTATGATTTGAGTCTATTTTTATTTAGAATATTATTTGAGATTTTCTAATGATTTCGGAAATATCTCAAATTCTCGGAAGAAATCTCTGATCCCTAAGTTTCTAAATTAAAATTCTGTTCTAAAATGAATTATGAATTCATATGATTCTTTGATTATAGGTTTCTCATATTCTCTTTCCGATTGAAAGATAACCATAAATCTTGAACTCTATCTATTTAGGAAGATCTTATCATCTTGATTCTTATAAAATTCTCTTAAATTTTATATTTCAAATTCTCTTATATCTTAGATTCGAAATAGAATTAAAAAATGAATTTTATCGAATATAAGGCTCTTATTATTCTTCGAAATATATATTTATTCTATAAGATATAAATTCCGAATAGAAATTTCGAAATCTTGGATTTCAATTCATCATATATTCGATATATAAATCCGATATTTTCAATATTTCATTTAAAATGAGGATTATTCAAAATTTGGATTTTCTTTTATTCATATAATTCGTAAATTTATTATATATATATAGAATTTTATATCTATTGGAAGTCATTGAAAGTCTATGAATTGAAAAGCTGAATTTTTTGCCTATAATATATTTAATAATAGATCTATATATAGAAATAGAAGGGAAAAAGAAATTTAAGAATATAATGATTATTGATATATATATAAATATCTATTATCAATTTGGATATCATTAGAATGAAAGCTCTGATATTATGAATAGATTAGAAATCATTTCTCTATAATAGAGAAACGAAATATGAATGATTGAAAGAAATCAGAAATTCGGATTATCTATAGATATTTCTAATATTTCTATAGAAATTTGATAGAATAAATTGGAATTTGAAATATTTTCTTGAATCAGAAGAAAAATATATCTATTCATTTCAAGAAAAATATATTCATTATATAATCTTCTAAATATAAATGAATGAGATCTATAAATATCTAAAGAGAATTTCTTTTATTTTCATAATAGCTATAAGATAAATTTGATAGATAATATACGAATATTGATAAAGAAATATCAATTCTAAAAAAAATCTTCTCTAGATTACGATTTCTTTCCTAGATTCTAAAATATATGAATCTGCAGAATTAGAATTATTATAAATTGGAAGAATCAAAGATTCGAAGGATGAATAAATTTTGAATTTTAAAGATTTCAATATATCTATGATAGGAAATTGAAAGATTCAAAGATTTCAAAATTCAAAAATTGAAAAAATCAAAGGACCGATAAATTTTCATTCATATTCCGGAATTTCAAAGATAAATAGGCGATTATCAAAAAAATGGTCCTTTTTTAGATCTCTATTCTAATACGATACCTAATATTTAGGGAATCCAGAAAGGACCCATAATTTTGATAACCGCCCAAATTCAAAATAAGAGAAAGAAGAATATCAAGAAAAGATGAGATGAAAAGATAATAATCGATGACGAATCGAAATCTGAATTATATAGAAATAAGGAATCACAACGTATTAGAAGGAATATCCCAATAAGAATGCAATATCTGAGATTTA